TATATATATATATATATATATATAAACTATTTGGATACAGGTTTAGAGGAGTATTAAGAACTTCTCTATTAAAAAATAAAACATTTTTTGGTATAGAAACTCTCACCAACTCTTTTAAACTTGTATTCAAATATATACTTAATATAATACAGTTTATATTGAAAAAAGTATATATTGCTTGTGCAGCACATGGGTGATCATGAATAGACAAACAAGAAGACTATCCAAGATACCAGAAGAAGTTAGACAAGAGCTTGTTCCTTTTTACCTTAATAGGCTTGCTGTTCCTATTGAAGAAGCAGATTGTGAAAAGATAGACAAGCTCACTGATGAGACTGCTGAGAGAATCCGATCTGGATTGGCCGTAAGTTTGATATCTGATTTCAGTTTAATTTTACTCCCCCTTCTCTTTATTTGGAATTGGTGTGGTTTTTTTGTTGTAACAGGTTGAAATAGTATAATGGAATGATTTGCAGTTAAAGGATAAAAAAGTGGACAACAAAATGAATATCTCTTTTTTAGTGTCATACATTTGCATTCCACTCATTTTTTTTACAACTCTCTCCAACCAATTGGTTCATTTTAAGAGTTAAATGGTATATTCAGATACAACTAGATGTCCAAAAGTTATAATAATGTCTAATATCACACTTAAATTGTCGTTAAAATCCATTGCATTAACTCCTCCGTTTTGCATGTAATACAGCCTAGGTGGAATGACATGGATGCTAACCAGCATGTCAACAATGTGAAATACATTGGATGGATTTTAGAGGTACGAATTGGTTGACAGAACAGTTGCAAGAAATGGCATAAAAAATTATATATGTGGCAAAGATGGCTATACTCTATTTTATAAACGTTAGTAATGTTTAACTTGTGTGAAATGTACACCAATTAATGTTGATTTTGGCATATTAATTTGGTTGTTGCAGAGCGTGCCAATTGAAGTGTTAGAAGATTATAACATGACGAGCATGACTTTGGAGTATCGACGTGAATGTACACAATCAAATTTGTTGGAATCCATGACATGTCCAACAGCAAGAGTTATTGAGTCCAATAATAATTCCAAGAACAGAAAACCTGATCTGGAATACACACACTTGCTTCGTCTGCAACAAGATAAAGCAGAAATTGTCCGAGCCAGAACTGAATGGAATTTTAAGCAAAAGCAACAGTGGTAAAATACCTTTGACAAAACCACAGTATCTGTGGACCCTGTACCTTTCTATGTTCCTATTTGCTTCACTCTTATGGTTTTGCAATCTCTAGGATCCTTTAAGCTTAACATTCATTACATTTGTCAATTTATCCTTTTGTAAATTCTTTCCGTGAGAAGAATTATAGATTTCTAATTATTAAGAAATTTATTATAAATAAAATTATGTTGATAATAATTGCTTAGAATATCGACATATATGGTATAAAAGTTTGAACGTTATTTTCGGTGTTTTGAGAATGAATTGCCTAGTCCTACAAACTCGAACAAAATTCTAAAAAACAAGTGGTTAAACTATATACCATATATCGAGTATCAATTGATGTTGAATTATTTCAATTTAACAAGTAATTTGAAATTCAATTTTTAAATATATCAACCAAAATGACTATCCGACGATCAATAAAATTTTCTGCTTACACAACTTTTAAAGATTAATTTAAAAAAAAATATATAATAATTAGGTCATTCCTTACTCATCAATAAATGAATATTAGTTATATGTTAATCTTTTATTCATATTGTGAATAATATTACTTATTTAATTATGTATTATTATTATTATTAGTATTATTATTATCATTATTATTACTATTATTATTATCATTATCATTATTATTATTATTATTATTATTATTAATTATTATTATTATTATTTATGAAGTTTGGAGAACCTTTCACCATCTGACAAGGGGGTTTTCTAAGCTTCAAGAAAAGGAGTAGATGATCAACCAAAAAGCACTAGTCCTCAATTCAACAATCAAAGAAGATATATACATCTTCAATTTTCTTATAAGTATTCAATTTTTCAGTGTTTGGCATGACATTTGAGTTAATTAGTTTAGACGTTTATAAGCCTTTTGATATAGCTTATTATTTTTTACTATTTTTTTTAATAATTTAATAGAATTTCACTTTATCCTTTGTTCACACCAGGATTAAAATCTTATTTCAACTTCTCCCACTTAAAAATGTCTGTTTTGTCATTTTGTGCCTAGAGCAAATAGCATATGTACATCCATCATATTTTTTGACATGTAGTTTTTAATAACTTCAAACATTATTGTCGGAAGCAAATATTGTATAATTTCGTTATTGAATTTCATTTTTCCACCTAAAATGAAAAAAAAAATTATCTTCATAAATAAAAGAAAAAGTCATAGAAAAAGTCATGAAGCCTTCACTCATACATAACAAGTGAAATGAAGAATAGGGTTCCTGCACATGATTTTGTTGATTTTTTTTTTTTTTATTCGATAAGCCCACTTTTGTTAAGGTATTGATAGAGATCATGAGGAGAATCGTACGACTCAATGAGATAGAAAGAATAAATCAATTTTTTAATTAATAATCTTGCAAATTTCTTGATGCATTGTCCTTTTTCTCTTTGATGTTCAACAATGCTACACCACCATAACGAATGTCCCCATGTTATACTATCGTGAAACCATCCACCAACTTCACTTTATTCTTGTTAATTAAGGACTTGAAAGCATTATGATAACACAGAAACTTACCTGAAGATAAAATAAATTTTAAATTTTATAGGACATAACAAATTATAATATAATGTATTAAACTAGTTTAAAATTAACAAAAGAAAAAACGCGAATCTTAAACCAGAAGAGAAAATCTTAAATCTTGGGCCTTATAGTTCAAGGAAAAAAAAACAAATAAAACAGGCCTGAACCACTAATACAACAATCTCAATTTCACCAAAAAAAATAAAAACACTAATACAAGAATCTCAACAAAAATAAAAGAATAAAGCATGTACTCTTGTGACAATATCTAGAAAAGATACGAAACAAACACTAAATCAGCAATACGCAGAGTTGCGGCTTTCTGTCTCCGATTCTAGTCAGAAAAAGTGGTTACCAAAAAAGTTGGTTAGAAACTAAGCATATTTATATAGATATAGAGGAGGAAAAGGAAAATGCTAAAAATCTGGCTGAGCTATTGCCTATTCCTAACCAACTCTAACTAAACTAGCCCATCATACACCCACTTGAAAGTCCAACGTGGCTTAAAGAGTCCAAACTACTTAAGTTTTTTTTTTAATTATTATTATTATTATTACTAGTAAAGTGAGGCACTCCCTCATAAAAATAAAATAAAATTAAAATCATAAAATTAAAAAATGTATGGTTAACTTCAAATTAGTAAAATATTTAAATAAATTAGTTAAAAAATAAAAGGATAAAAAATATATATACACCAAAATAAACTAAAAAGTACCATTTTTATTAATATTATAGATTATTATTATGAAATATGGATGATTAATTTATGTTAAAAATCAATAAATCATAAACATACTTTTTTTTAACATAATTTATTTTATACTTAAAATCTGAATTCAAATATTGAATAACTTAACTTAGAAATACCATTTGTATAAATTAATATTGGTACACTAATTTTTTTTCTTTTGATGGGGCTAATCTGCTAATAAAGTCTTGCATGGGTGGAAATTTGCGCATTGGTCACAATCTTTTATTTGTCCTGCTACGAGTATCTCCCAATTCACTATGGTTAAGTCGGTGCTTTGCATTTCTTTTTGTTCTCTTATTTTAAACTCCTTTATTAATAAGAAGATAAAAATGAATGAAAATAAAAGAATAATGACTATTCTATACTTGAAAATATATTCCATTGACAATGTATTTTACAAATATTTAAAATCATTTCACATTATTCTTTAAATTTTGTTAAACAAGGAAATCAAAATTTGATCCAAGGTGATAATGAGGAAACATGCCTACACTTGAATAATTATTACACTAAGCGGTTATGACTTTAAAAATTAATGTGACAATGAGCTATTAGAATTGGTCCAGCCAGTGTGAGGATTGAGTATTCTACGCAAATTTTAAATTTTATGTCGTTTTATAATTTTGATGGATGGATAAATTAATGTAAGTGTTAATTATCACTTTTAAAACCAAAATGAGTGTTCACTGTTAATTACCACTTTTAAGCACATTGGAATGGTGCAAAAGATTCTAAATACATCATGTAACACTTTTCTGCCACCCCAGGCATTCGAGTTTGTGTTGAGGGTCCACTGCCAAGCAAATAATGATGATGAGATGACATTTGAAAATACTAAGTAAGCATTGGGCAAGTTGCCAGCCAGGATAAAAAGTCATTCTGAGATGAGTGAAAGAGCATCTTGTACATAAATTTATTTCATGAATATCGATGTATGTGTTTTATTATATTGAGCAAACACTAAATTATTTGATTTTTGAAAAAAAAGTACATAAATTATCACATTAGTTTTTCAGTTTCTCATCATATCACTTGAAATTCTGTACTCTAGATATTGAATGGATTAAAATAATGATAGATTAATTTTTAAAAGAATAATTTATGACAAAATCTTATAAAAGTTAAAGTGGTCATTTTTTAATATAAAAAAAAACTAGTTTTATCATTAAATTTTTCTAAAAAAATATTAATGTGTTGATGAGATTATTTTTGAAACACTAAAAATATGATTTTCATAATCAAAATCAATCAAAAATCATTTTATATATCACTTAAAAAATAATAATTACTTAAGCATTGTTTTGAAAACTGGTATAGAAACTAGTTTGAATTCATCCTGATTAAAAGTATATTTTTTAAAATTTTATAATTTAATTGAAGATATTTTAGTAAAAATTATAAATTAAAATAATTATTTTATCAATTATTTTAATATTTTTATTATAAAAATAATTTAATCATTTATATGAATTTATAATTTTCAGTTTTTATAATTTATAATATTTTTAATTAAACACTTTATATTTTAGAAGTAAACTTGTTATTGTTAATAGAAATTGTTATATTTTATTACACTTTAAACTTAAATATTTATTATTTTAATTTTGGACATTTAAGAATATATTGAATATTAAGAATTCATAAATAATATTTTATTTTAATTTTTAGTTTTATAAAGTTATAATTTTGCATTTATTTAATATTATTATTTATTATTATTTTATTAATTCAGGTTAGACCACGGTTTAACTATATTGAACTTTTAACTAGTACTTAGACTACTTGAATGATTAATCCAGTTTTAAAAATATTGTTACAAAGTTCAGAAAGATGATAATCATATATTGATTAACATAAGCAATTATGAAAGAAAAAAATCTCAACCATTAAAAATAATAATAATAACGCTTTTTGTTGAAAAATGATTATTAAAAGTACTCTTATTAGATATGATTATTCTAATTAATATAAAGTGAATTATTTAAACTGTTATAATTTATCTTAAGATATTGAAATTCAATTTAGAAATGAAAATTATATTCATAAATTTAATTAAAGAGATAAGAAGTTAAGAAAACTAATTAAAAACTTCATTGTTAAAGGAAAATAGTTACAAATAATATTGTTTAAGATAATTATTTTAATTTAGAGATATGGAAAGAAGTTAACATAATTTATATTTTATTTTAAAAATATTAAAATTTAGTTTATAAATAAAAATTAAATTAAATAAGAAGTTAAATTTTTTTAAAAAATTTTCTTATTAAAAAAAAGTGCTTGAAAATGAATTTGTCAATGAGAAGTTCCCAAAAAATATTCTCGCCAATATTTAACATATTAGGGTGAATATCATGTTCAAAGTTGACTTATTTAACATAGTAATTAAAAATATAAATTTAGCTCTAATTATTTGATGCAAAATTTTAGTAATAATTTAGTTTTAAATATAAAAAAAAATTCTAAAGTATTTTATTTCAATCATAATTTATTTTACACAAAAATAAAGAATTTAACACAAAAATCTAATAAATTAAAGGTATGAATATTCTAACATTCTAATTTTCAAAAATAAAAATAAAATAATTATTTTAATAAAAGAGTAGTAATGAATTTATATTAATTGGGTTCATAATATAACTAAAATGTTTTTATTAGATAAAAAAAAATAGGTTGTTGGTTAAGAGAAAAGACTTATATTAGACTCTTGAATCAAACCTGAAAGTTCATTAAAAATAAAAATAAGAGGGTTAAGTCATCTTAATCTGTTTGTTCTGAAACTTAAGAGCACTTGCACAAGAAAATCTAAAAAAAGCCACTAGAGAATTATGGGGTAGCGACAGGAGCAACAAAAGAACATGTTTGTGCTACGAAGATAAACACTCAAGGTAAGGGAGTGAGAATGTTTCATTAGTGAGCACATTTGAGAAATATTGATAATAAGGCGAACCATAAGTCTCTTATATTTCTGATTGAATTTCTATGAATGATTATATGTATAATATTATGTTGAAGTACTATTTTATTCTTGTATTTTTGGGCATGAATCTTGATTGTTATATCTAATGGTAAATTGAAGTGTTTAAGGGTTAGGGTTATAAAATTGAGGGGTTTCATGCAAGGTTTGGGCATAACCACATCGAGAATGAATGCAACAAAGATGCCCCTAACCTCTTTGTGTTGAGCATAAGGGTATCCTTGTCGAGTATCATGTCGTTGATGGATTACACTTGGTTTAAAGGAGGATCAATAGTAGAGGATCCTAGGAGAAGTAATTATTAGGGAAATTAAAAAAAAGGAAATAAGAGGATAAATAATCATAGATAGTCTGTTAAAGAACAAAAGGAAAACGAGATACATATAAGCAAAGAACGATGGATTATGTTAATGTTATCTTATGCCTTATATGTGTTATACATGGATGAGATGTGTTTTCACACCATGTATTTATTGTAGTGTGTGTTTAGGCTAAACGTTATTTGAAGGAGATAAAGCTTAGTGCTTCAATTACTTTTGAATCTTGCTCTAATATTGTGATATTAGGACTAGTGGATG